AAAGTAAACATATTAAAAAATATATATATAATCAACTACACAGGTACTTATGTAGATCACATTAGAGCAATAGTTTTTAATAATTTCAAGCACACAATATAGAATACATTGAAAAGAGCTGAAGTAAARTAATATATTCTTTKCWAAGTACCGATGATTGTATAATGCAACCAATTACCKTAAAAGTTAAYGATAATGAAATCTACAATACAKTGACRCGGGCACGCGATTGACAAATTCRTGGGARTTCAATAATWTASTTTGKRGTAAGTCCAMAAAWTGRAAATCTGATYGACTGGAAGCGAACGAACACTGTGGAATTGTGAAGAAGGAATGRCAACCACTCTCAACACAAGGGATGACTGCGCATTGAACACAAACTKAGGAATGCTTCGTGTAGGAGGGGAAAAGGACGAGGATTAAGGAGCAGACAATGAACGGAAAATAAATTTAAGGACCAGACTTCCCGTGGCGAGAGGGACAGCATACATAGGAGGACCACCAGCGGCGGTGACTACGGCGTCGTATTCTTGCCCGCCAACGAGTGACTGTCGACGAGGGCCGAAAGGGACAATGGATACGCGCGCAAACGGCGGAGGGTTCGAAACCAGCGAACGATGCGTGAGCGCGCAGCGACGGCGAACGGGACGCGCGCGGCGGCGGCGGCTACGGTTGTTGGACGACGATGGGAGTGCGCGCGGCGGATGTTGGCTGACTACGTCTGCACTCACCTCCGGTCGAAATCCATGGAAAAGCGCCACGCAGCGTCAGAGTCGAGGACCCGCCACAACTGGTCTGACGACGGCGTAAATGAAAATATGGCACGCTACGGCCGCACAGACGACCAGCCGAACGACAACGAAAAGTAAACTAAATTTGATAATGATAAAAAGTCCATTGCGTTGCGTCGCCACCACCGTCAGCCCCTCCACCCCGCCACCTACGTCGCCACCGCCACCGCCACGCAACAACCACCAACACGGTCACGGTGCCACCTCACCGCCCCAACCACTCTACGCCGCCCACAGGTATATAGTGCGAGCGCTGGCCATCGAGACAATAGCGGTCCGTCGTCGTAGTTCACGGTGCCGCCGTCTCAGTTCACGCGTCGCGGACACGACCTCCATGCGCGCGCGCCATCTGGTGGACGACGCGACACGCCGGACCGTTTGGCGATCGCATTACGTTCTTCGGAACTGCGCAATTGTTGTTCAAGTTCAATAGGTAGGTATTTCGAATGACTATGCTCCTCCGGTGAAATGCGTACAGTGACACACGCTGGTAAATCCGACAAGGGTGGGCGGTGTAGAGGGAAGCCACCCTTGCAGGTGTATTATTCCAGGTAAACGTTAACCGCTCGGCGATGCGTTCCCATTGGTCGCGGGCCTGACAACGCGACGTTTTTGCGCGCAAAAATGCGGAATAATAACACGACTGCATTATATAGGTACCTACGCTCTATACCTGAGCAGCTGGTACATAAAATGTACACCATTATACTATTATTATCGTCATGTAAAATATACTCGATCACAGTGTAATATAGGTATTATTAGAAAATATACAGCAATAATTATGTATTGCTGCAGCTGCGAATTATTACAATAATTATATTTTTTAATTTATAATTTTTATCACGCATCGAAGTAATATTAATGTGTCTATGGGTGTACGGCAGGGGTGTCATTTGGGGGGGGGGGGTGGTCAGGGTGTGCGGTTGCATCCCTTTCTTTTAGAATGTTACAATTATTAGCCTGCGCCTTGCTGAAGCCTAAAATAATGCACAAGCCACGAATGCACAATTATATTTATATGATTAAAATCAAACTGTAATAACCGGTCTGTAATGTATGGAAATAATTGAATCCAGGGTAATATACAATATACGTATACGTATGTATATCTATTTTTATATGGCTTGGTGAAATTTTAAAATGGCCTGCTTGAAACTTCGCACACCCGAAAAAAAACTGAAATGACGCCCCTGGTATACGACAGTCAACCAGTAATAATAATAATGATAATACTATTAGATATTATTATAATATCATTATATTTTTAGAATATGCAAACGTCGATTATAAATTCATAAACTATTTATTACCTAATAAATGCGGTCTAAATTAGGTACCCAAACGTCATGCCGCCAGCATTAGAATATCATATAAAACTTATTCGCCAAATATAATATGTATATATACCTATATTAGCTATGTTTCATTTCCATTGTCAGTTATTTTTTTGACCATGATATTATAGAGACATAATATTATTTTGTATTTTAATGCTTCAAACTCCGGTGTGTGACGGTCCTATACGGCTATACCTAAAATGTCCTGAATAATAACCTCTTCCTCATCCACCACAATGGCACTATGTGAAATTGTRTTCAAGAAATGTAGAGTCAGCAAATCCACAAGTGGCTGCCCTAGTCAAATAAAAACTGAAATAACGCCACTGCCTATATTATGTAAATACGATTTTTTGTTTCCTCGGCGTCTACGATTTACCGCTATATGTTGCACGCCTGTACGGGCTGTACACCTAATGGCTAATGCCATTAGGGCTATATGTTATATTTTCCTCCAAAAACAATATACAGTTTTCCTCAAAAAAAAAAAATTTAAAAATTTTGACCATTTACTTCCAATTAATGATAAATAAAATAATAAAATTGTTAAATAAATAATTTATACATAACATAAAAAACAAAAATCGATTATAATATAATATTTTTTTTTTATAGCTTTAGAATATTTCAGCAACAAATGAATACCTGTTTAAACTGTTTAAGGAAAAGAAAAATTAACCATAATATGAATTATTATTTTACTTTTTTTAATTATTCGGAAGTGCAAAATGTGATTTTCTATCTTAATAAGCAATAATAACATTGAACGTAATGTT